AGGTAGGGGCCTATCTTCCCTATTAATGACCCAAAAAGAAAAAAGAAATTTTGGATTAAAAAGAAAAAAGAAATTTTGGATAGCCACATCTGTGGTTTTGTATTATTGGCATGGAATCACATTCTTTCAACATGATAAAATTTTGGAGTAGTATGCTTTTATTGTGATAAATTTTTATTTTTCTTTTTTCTTTTTTAGTTAGTCTCTTTACATAACTTCTAGCTAATTTGTGAGACAACTCCAAAAACCAAAAACAGCTAATTTGTTTTTGGAGTAGGATGCTTTTATTGTGAGGAACTTTTATTTTTATTTTTTCCTTTTTAGTTAGTATCTTTACATAACTTCTAGCTAATTTGTGAGACAACTCCAAAAACCAAAAAAAGTTGGATAAAGTTTTGCCAGTAAACTAAAAGGTGGGCGATAGTCGAGGATAAACATATTCAGCCATCGGAGGAGACCAGGAGGTATATCAATCGGAGTATTAGTTTCTTATCAATTATACTATATAATTTTTATGATAACTATATTTGTTACTTTTTTATGGATTAATCTTTTTAATCTTTTTCTTTTTGCATTCTCCGTAGAAAATTTAGAGCTCATCATAATCTCTCGAAAATAGAAGTCAATAATTACTTTGGATTTACAGTGATTGTCCTTTCGCTAGAAATTTATATTACAATAAGTTTAATTTATTAACTCAACAGGGCCAGACATTTCAAAAGATTTAATTTCATAGCTTGGGTTTCTATTAATCTCTTCTTCTTTTTTTTGCTATTTTTTTAATTTTATATTTTCTTTTGATGCTTAAATTTTAATTTCTATTTAACTATTATAAATAAAGCGAGAGGAGGTCCCTCTTTATTTTTGACATATTTTTTTGTTCTCGATATTATCCTTTTTATTATATATTATATCCAATTAATATTGGGAAAAGTTTATATAGAGTTGAGGTTCTAAACAATCAAATTGAGCCTACCTCAAAAATTTCACAAGAAGATGTTATTTAGATGCCCAAATATCCTCAAATTGACCATCTCAACATCAAGATGGATGGACATGAGAAAAAAAAATGGATTTCAAGTTTTGGAAAAAGTGCATCTTCTAACATATTTCAAGTTTTCATAGATATGTGGATTTACACTATTTTTGAAGCTTTAAACTTTATAAATAAAGATAAATAGATATTTTAAGACTATCACAAAGATTTTCAATATTGAAACCAGGTTTCTTGACACTATTTGAAGGTAGGCTCTAATTTGATTCTTTAGAGCTAGGCTCAATACAAATCCCACCCATTAATATTATACCCAATTATGAGCTTCTTTTTTTTTTTTTGTTCTCTTTCGTCTGGTCTTTGCCTTAGTTTGACTAATTTTTTGGATGCTTGCTATCTTAGATGTTTATCTATTTGCTATCTTAGATTTGAATCTATTCTTTTGCTTTATGGATATCATATGTATTTAAGATTCATTATTTTACTGTTGCCCTATTTTATCAGTATTTAAGATTCCTATGAGTTTTCTTTCTTTACTTACCGCTTGCACTACTTTTTGATGAATTACATAGATTATTGGCTTTAAATGCAATAATCTACTTTTTGATTAATTACATAGATTATTGGTTTTAGATTTTGATGAATTACATAGATTATTGGCTTTAGATGCGGATTATTGCATCTCATGTTGATGGATTTCATTTTGGCTTCAGATGTATCTAAAGTTGATTCATCGATTATTATTGCATCTTAGGTTGATTATTGAATCGATTATTATTGATTCATGGATTTCATTTTGGCTTCAGATGTATATGAATAGAGATTTATGGATTTCATTTTGCTTAAGATACAGCAGGTTGATTCATCGATTATTATTAATAATCTCATTTTGGCTTCAGATGTATAGATTCATAGATTCATCGATTATTATTCCATCTCATATCATTTTGGCTTGAGATGTATAGATTCATGGATTAGGTTGATCTCATATTGGCTTTATAGATTCATGGATTAGGTTGATTCATCGATTATTATTCCTCATTTTGGCTTCAGACGTATAGATTCATGGATTAGGTTGATCTCATTTTGGCTTTATAGATTCATGGATTAGGTTGATTCATCGATTATTAGTCCTCATTTGCTTCAGATGTATATTCATGGATTTCATTTTGCTTCAGATATATATATCAGTAGAGATTCATAGATTTCATTTTCCTTCAGATATATATCACTACAGCCTCTAAGATTCATCGATTATTATTACATCTCATGGATTTCATTTTGCTTCTATATCAGTACAACTTCTAAGGTTGATTCATTGATTATTATTACATCTCATGTTGATTAATGGATTTTATTGGCTTCAAATGTATATCATGTTGATTCATGGGTGTCATTTTTGCTGTGTATCAGTACAGCCTCTAAGGTTGAGAGGTTGGTTCATCAATTATTATTGCATTTCATGTTGATTCATCGATTATTATTGCATCTAATATTGATTCATGGATTTGGATTTGGATTTCATTTTGGCTTCAGATGTATATACAGTCGATTCATCGATTATTATTGTATCGTGTTTATACAGGTTGATTCTTGAATTTCATTTGGGTCAGCCAAATATTTTATTTGGGTTACTGAACGTTTTTATTTATCATCTACTCTAATCTTCTGATTACCCATCATGTTTATACAAGTTGATTCATCGATTTCATTTGGGTTACTGAATATTTCATTTGGACTACTGTTTTCTATTTATCATTTATTCTAATCTTCTGATTATCCATCATGTTTATACAGGTTGATTCATCAATTTCATTTGGGTTACCAAATATTTCATTTGGATTGGTGAACATTTTCTATTTATCATCTACACTAATGTTCTGTGATTGATATTCAATATTTAAGATTACTATATGAGTTGTTTTATATGATACTTGTAGTCATGGATTTCATTTGGGTTACCAAATATTTCATTTGGGTTAGTGAACGTTTTCTATTTATCATCTACTCTAATGCTCTGAGATTGATAATCAATATTTAAGATTATTATATGAGTTGTTTTTACTTATAGGTTGTTGATCCATCAATTTCATTTGGGTTACCAAATATTTTATATTTGGGTTACTAAATGTTTGCTATTTATCATCTCCTCTAACATCTACTCTAATATTATGAGATTGGTAATCAATATTTAATATTACTATATGAGTGGTTTTTACTTAAAGGTTCTATCGTGTTTATACGGGTTGATTCATCAATTTCATTTAAGTTACCAAATATTTTATATTTGGGTTACTGAACGGTTTGCTATTTATCATCTCCTCTAATCGTCTGAAATTGATAATTAGGTTACTGAACGTTTGCTATTTATCATCTCGTCTAATTGTCTGACTTTAACTCCAACTCACCATTCTCACTTTCTTACCCGAGCTCACCACTCTCTCTCTCTAAATTTTTCAAAAGGCGAATCCTTTTTTCAGATGGACAGGGTAATTTGGAAATTCGAATGAGTTCGTGGGGTATGTTAAAGACGAACAAAGAATTTCCAGATAATTCTATACCACTCTATAACACGTGTCCGTGCGTCGGTACAAGTGTCGATACTACCAACAAGCAGCTTGGTTTTCTATTAGAAAAATTGATTTCTGCCGGCCCGCATGACTACATATGCAGTCTAAAAAGGGTAAAACATCTGTCTTAAAGATGAATGCGTGTTTTATATAAAAACAATAGAAACTAACCACTTAAAACGTTTTTTTTTTAGAATTATTAATTTTTTTAAAAAAATTATTTACATTTTCATATTCATGATCTCATGTTAGAGATTATATGCCATTAAAAATTAAGTTAAAAAATCTTTCTTAAAAATAAATTTATTAATAGACCTGCATTTCTTGACCGTATAGAATCCAGATCCTTTTTATTATTTTTGGGCTTTTAAATAAAAAATAAAATTTATAAATTGGACACTTTAAAATGTAGGATCAAGTTGCACCTCTAAAATCTTTTGATAAAGGTTGTTGTGATGTTGAAAAGTTATCCTACTAATCATCTTGACATAGAGATTTTAAGGGCACAAAAAATATTAAATTTTTTTTTTTTTTTTAAAAAAAAATGAGAGTTTTAAGGGGAACCGAAGTATAGTTGAGTCTTCACTATTGGATGCTTGGAAATTCATTACTAAATAGATACAGTTTTAAATAGAATTTTTTGAAAATTGTAACGCATTTTAATAACTGGGGTTTCACATCCAATGACTATGACTAATTTTAACCTCGTACAAAAAAAATAAATGGCCATATAGTATAAATCCGACTAATTTTGACCTTGTACAAAATAAATAAATGGTCATATAGTATAAATCCCTACATGCCACTTAGAAAAATAGAGGTTATTCGATTCTGAATTTTTTCGTACATGTAGATTCTATCCTGGCGATCAAAATAAATTAAAAAAAAAAGTTTAAACTCCTTCAAAAAATTGATTATTTGTTTTTCAAGTACTCAAAATTCTTTTTTACAAGATTATTTGTTTTTCAAGTCAAATATGATGCGCAAAATTTTAACACGAAATTATCCCTAGCAATATATTATGAAGCTAAGCTTATACTATAGCTATAAGCATGCTTAACTTTTAAAAATTATGCCTGTATTTTCTAAAGGCTAATCAAAATAGCACGGAAAATAGGGTTGGGAACGAGTCAGGCCGGGTTCAAAGCCTACCGGACCCAAAGTCACCGGACCCGGTCTTGAAAAGTTAATGTGGGATCTAGATTGGGATCTAGACCTAAATCTGAAAATATAATGTGGGACCCAAATCAAGACCTGAACCCGGACCCGAATAATATTCGGGTCCAAGATTTGGAGTTAGACCCGACCGGCTAAGTCTCTTCTTTTTTTTTTACCCATACGTGGACCCAGGTCGGGTCTAGGCCGAGGTCCATTGCCATTAATAGAAGGAGATTAATATGGCATATGCAAAGGGAAACTATCATATCAAAGACTCAAAATTAGAACAGCTCAAAAGTCCCATTAAAACATCATCCAAATTCAACTAAACTTTACAGCTCCCTATCAAATGTGTATGTGTTAGTCACCCTAACCATACATCAATTCTTCTTTAAGTTAGACTAAGACGAATGAAAATGTTAGGATAACTGAAGCATAATGAAAAAGAAAGGGGAAAACCCAACAACTTCTCCTATGCCACCTGTCTCTCTTTATTCACCAGGTAAACACATGTTGATATCGGTAGAAAGCATAGGATCTACCCTTGTAGATTGAGAGCCTGACCAAGCAGTTGGTGAATGTAAAGAAGTTAAGCTTGGCTTTGTAATATTTGCCTGATTGTTAGCAGTTGGGCTGGGCATTGACTTATTGGTGGTGGTGGTGTGAGTTTCCTCAGCTGATGGTGGTGGTGGTGTCATGTGAGACAGGGGGACAGCTGGTGTTATGCCACCTTGAAGAAGGGGAGAAGGGGTGGAGGATTCCATCATATGCTTCCTTTTCTGATCCTTTTGACTGTTTGGTGTGAAACTTCCCACCACAACCTGGTATCATCATCATAAGTGTATTAGAATGGAAAATTGTAGTTTATGCTTATTGAGAGAGAGAGAGATGAATGCCCTAGCAGGCCTATGGATTATGAAGTTCATGTGCATTCATGGAGAGAGAAAGAGATGAAAGCCTATGTAAATATGTGGATTGCGATTGCGAAGTGCATGTGTACGCATGGAGAGAGAGAGATGAAAAGCCCATGTAAATATGTGCATTGTGAATGTAAATGCATGTGTATTCATGAAGGGACCCGATTTCTTTGCAGCCAAGCCCATATACATATATGGAGAAATGCATGCCTATTAATAAATCTATTTTTGAGATAGAGTTTTGGACTTAATTTTTAAGAACATGTGATCTCTACCATGGAGATCATAAATATGAAAAAATAAATAAATTTTAAACTTAAATATTTTAGACCGTTAATTTCTATTATTTTATAAAAAAAACACCTACTTACATCCATCTTTAAGATGGATGCTTCACACTTTTTTGACCTCATATTTGATCATGGGGTGCAGCCCGTGTGAAACAATTTTCCTTCATGGAGAGAGAGATGAAAAGGAGACGTAATTATGTGGATTGTGATTGTGAAGGACGATTATTTATGGAGAGAGAAAGAGATGTTAAATTGAAGAGTGTGCATGCATGGGATATGCACTGATGAGAATGAATTGGACTGTGATCAAGGGAAAATTGTCCCACCAGCATGTCAGTGACTTAGCAGTCACCGCCCAAACCATCAATTGGATTACGATGACTCCCATGAATATACTGTTACCATGATACTAGATGCCGTACAAACACCAAGGCGATATACTCCGTGACCCTAACGCATCAAAATCACTCTGACCCCGTCGGGCGCCGGGTTCAGATCTAAAACTTTGAGACTCAGATGAGTCTCATCGGGTCACGGACCTTCTTACGTGATTTTTATAAGGAAAATTGTAGATACCTCCCTTGACCCTGGCTTGCTTGGCATCCCCCATCTATAATACTTTGCATGCAACACTACTAACTCTAAAACATATTCTTTTTGCACCCGCTCCAAGTAAAAGAGTACTTTTTTTTAGGATAAATATGCCTCCTTATAATGTATGTTTTTCTTACCCATCTTGCTTTTTTTTAAATGATGTATGTCCAGTATGATGTGTGTCAAACCAGCTTCACACTAGAAGTCGGTTTGGCATATTATGCATTGGGCCAATATTATTTTAAACTATGTGGAGGTCCAAAACACAATGTGTCAAATTGGTTTCATTTTAAAAAAATGTATGGGTCTGACACACATTACGGAGGACTTTAAAAAATAAAGCCACTCCAAAACAATTTAATTTTTTTTCTTTGAGAAAAATTTCGTTGGAAGGGGGTATGTTTATCATAAATAAAACTACTTTTTTTTACTTAGGAAATGGATGAAAAAATTAACAGTTTCAAAGTTAGTGGTGCAGTTTACAATTTATTTGGGGGGATGGGGGGAGGGCAAAGGCCTAGAAATTAGGGTCAAGCGGGTATCTGTAATTTGTTCTTTTCCAGACTCGCTCAAGTCTCACAACTTCAGGGACCCTCTTATGCAATTTTCATAGAGATTGCTGACTCAAGCTCAGGACCTGGCAAGTCCTGAGCCAGTCCAAGAGAAGAACCACTCAGTCTTACTTGTATTGGACTAGCAGCAAGTAGCAGACCAGCAACTCCACCACCGATGACACGGCCATCAGGGCCAGCTAATGAGATACTGATCCCACCTGTTCGGGTCCTTGAACCCCCATTATCAGCAAGCGTGAATGAACCAGACAACGACAATATCTCGAACCGGCCCTGCAAAAATATAGAAATAAAAATATTGTAACTTTGAGCTTTAAATGAAGTAAAGATGGGGAGGTATGTTAGCTTTTGCAAATCGTTCCGTATTCCTATTAAAGTTGCAGCTTAATGCTATCTTTTGGCAAAGTTGACTCCAGCTTTGAAGAAAAAACAGGGTTCCACTATGGAGTAATGATGGCTAAGCAACCTGCTTTTAAAGTTGTCTGCTGACGAAAAGAGTAAGCCAGTTGGAAAGAAATTACCGACTCAATTGTTTTAAAAAACGAAATATAATGAATAAAGAAAAAGAAACTAAGACCTTACAACGACATCAATAATTAAGAAAAAAGGTTTATATTAGTATCAAAATATATTGTCTCAGCACCAAAAATCTCTATAATGGGTTAAAAATTTATTTTCATCTCTAACCATAAAATTTCTAGATTAAAAAGTAGTGTATCAAAACAGATATATGAACACTTAAAATTCTTTAAAATTGCCAGGATACTTAATGAAAGGTAAATGAAGTAATTAGAAAACATTGCACGTCATGTCCCTACTGATGACGGGTGAGATAAGGAACCCACAACTATGGGTGCCAGTCTAGCAAAGAGTGGTTGCATATGAAAACTCATCCGAGTCCACTTGGACGCGGCCCCTTGCCAATCCGAGTACTCGGATATTGGGTAAAATAAAATAGAAAAAATTATAAAAACCCCCCCAAATATACTATCTATGCAACTTAGCTCCCAGCTAACTTTTTTTTACGTTTTTTCCCACAACCACCTTTCTTCGCAAATACCCACCCAATCCAAACAAAAAAAACTAAACTACCCCTCGCTCGTGGCTTTTACCCACGACTCTCTCCCTGTCCGTTTTACCCGCACGCTCCAGCAATGGAGAGACTCGCTCCAACAATGAAGACACATGCTCCAACAATGCAGAGGGTCACTCCGGCAATGAAAACACGCGCTGCAGCAATGCAGAGGGTCGCTCCGACAATAAAGATACACGCTCCAACAATACAGAGGACCGCTCCAGCAATGAAGACACACGCTCCAGCAATGCAAGGACTGGCTCCGGCAGTACACTTTCTGGAGCCACCAACACTCCGACGGTTGAATAGGTCGCTCCGACAATGAAGACAAGCGCTCCGGCAGTACAAAGACACGCTCTGACGGTTGAACTGGTCGCTCCAACAATACGTTACTTGGGATCGCCAATTGATGTTTTTTTGTATGGGAAGGGCATTTTCGTTCAAAAAATAGGGGGTTTTGCTAAGAAATGTGATTGTGGGGAAAAAAATGAGAGGAAAGGTTAGCCGGGGGTAAGTTGCATAGATAGTATACTTTGGGGGGTTTGTAATTTTTCAAATAAATATTCATAAAAAAATCAAAAAAAAAAAAATTGTTTGTTTTTTTTTTTTGCAAAATCAATGTATAAATATTGTATATGTGATTTTGATTATTTTATGTGCCAATTTGTCGGTGTTTCTTGTCACGTACCTTATTTTTATTTTTTCCCTTTGTCTAGATCTATTTGAAATATCACTCGACTTTTCTTAAAGATAAAGTATATAATGAGACCATTTACCTTTGGTCAAGATGGTCATAATTAATCTTGACCAATCGATGTGAAATTGGGTGGCTACAGTAATTTTATTGACCAAGCTCAAAATTCAAAAGAAATTTTCTCAAACTTTGTAATACGCCTAAGTTATCAGATTTCACATCGGATGACTATAAGTAATTGTGATCTCTCTATACCACAGATAAATGTTATCTTGTAGTTTAGTTTGCCTTTTACTTTCTTAAATCTATCTTCTATACATTTTTTTATTTTTCTATCTTATCCAGACTTTTTATATTATTTATAGTTTAGTTGGCCTTTTACTATTTTTTAAACAAATTTTTTTGTTTTATTTTTTATTTTTTGGCACTTTTTGGGCCCGAACACTACTCGGGCGAGTTCACTGGGATTCACATAGTAACTCAGCTCAAGCAAGGCCCAAGTCCCGATCCCCAGACGAATTTTCAAACCTTGTGATGCAGGGATAAAATAAAATTGGAACAATAAAAATCAATTAAAAAAAATCGTTGATAGAATAAATCGTCTCTCAAAGTCTGCAAGAAAATCCACCCCCAAAAACAAAAGTCTACAAGAGAATTCACCCTAAAAAAACAAAGTCCGCAAAAGAATCGACTCCAAGATCTTATCACAAGATCTCAACTTTATTCCACTTTCATCATTCTCTGATCTCTTTACAATGAGGTACCTCTTCCCCTTTAACTAAACTTCAAAAAAATAAACAAATAAAAAAAACAAAAAACCTCTTTAACTTGTCGAAACCCTTTCCTTTATTTCTCTCCTTTACCTCACGTGCCACCTCTCTTCCCCCTATTTTCTCTCTCATAAAAATTAGGCACCATATTTGTCCATCTTTATCTTCCCCATATCTAACTCCTTTATCTTTCTCCTATTTAAATACACCTTTAAATCTCTCACTAAATCTTTTAAGCAACTTTTAAAATAAGATAACTTAAAACGAAAACTAACTCACGCCACCTTTCCCAAAAACCATTCCTAAAAATCTACATCACCTTGGGTCCAAGTATGAGCATTATTTTCAACCATATTTGAACAAGTCTTAATGATGTATTTCATGTTTTCACAGCATAGTCCTCTCCACAGGAGCATTTCAAAATGGTGGATTGTTCTTTTAAGATGTAATGCATAATAGAGTATACCATAGTAAATATGTAGCAAACCAGTGTTTGAGAAGGCAGCGCTTTCAGGGGTGCCAAGGCCGGGTCTGAGCCTAAAGGTAACCACCTAGCTCCTTGGCCTAAAGCGGCCCAGGGGAGGTCAAGGTGCTGCCTAGGTAGCCAAGACACCCAACACTAACCCGACATCAAATACCACTGACCATTACAAAATCATAAAACAGATTAAATTCTTTCTGATATGCATTGCCTGTTCTTCTTGGAGTAATCTCTCACCAAACTACTAGTCAATGAAGATCTATAATTAATGAAAAATTGCAACGAAAAATCAAGACGTTTCGTTTTGGTCTTGGTAGAACATATAAAGCATACTTTGAGAGCATTAAACAACACACAAAAAAAGGCCTTGGCAATTCTAAAGCCAAAAATGCAAACTACCATGACATACCTCATACGTCAAAGTCCCACCAGATGAACCAGGTTGACGAAGTGTGACATTGGAAATCGCTCCATTTGCAGATAGAATGCAAATAGATCGAGGGCCTTTCTGTGAGAATGACAATATCTTCGTCGCAACATCCTAAATAGTCAATTACCCAAAAAGAAAAAACATCCTAAATAGTCAGAAAAACACAAAAAAGAGGTTCATAGAACAAAAAACTACATGTCCATTCAATTCTCTGGTGAAGAAATAAGTAGGAGAAGTATCAACAGAGATCCCCTATATCTTTAGCTATTCTAACTGGTGGCATATAATGACAGTAGGGGCTTTATGTAGATAACAATCAGTAGCAAGTACTAACAGAAAACACATGCTTGCCCCATGCATATCTTCATAAAAAAGATTCATAGAATAAAATGTTCTGCACTTTCATTTGTTATGAATTGGATAACATCCATGGATAATTTTATGTGAAAACAAATCTATAAAAATTTACTACTTCTATAAGCAATTATCCAATTCATCTTAAAAAGAATAGCCTACTAGAAGAGACATAATTGCATACTACGCAAGAAAACCCATGACAGCACATCAATTCACAAAGAAAAAACAAGTGACGAAGTAGGGCAGTCAGTTAAAAATAGGGAAGCAATATAATAAGCACCGAATTGATCAAATAACCTGCAGGGATTAAACAACTGTATTGCAGGAACCTGTATATATATATATAGTAACCAATGAAGACCACTTTTTGTTGAGCAATATTTGCACATAATTGTATTTTTATTGGGTATATACTATTACTTTTGTGTGTTTCCATCAACCAATTATGAGCACTTTTTTTTTTCTTTTTCTTTTTTGTTCTTGGTATTTAGGTTAGTCATTTCATTATACTTAGTAAGCCAATTCGTTAAGGAAGATTGTTCAATCTATTTTGAAGTAAAGAATAATTGCTTTTGAAACCAGATTACCTACGAAAAATCAAACACTCATAGCAAGCTAGCATAGCAAGCTAGCAAATTCATTGGTATAAAAACAGTGGAAGATAAGCAGCAACATGGCACAAAAGCAACATTCTAGAGAAGTATTAGAGAGGTTATACTGCCAAGTAACCAACAGAAACTTCGAAATAAGCTAAATTAAAAGTTGCAGGAAGAAGAAGGGAAAGAGCTAACGATCACATGAATATGTTTTGAATAGTGATCGGTATTTCAATAAAGTTAACTATTGCAAATCCTGGAATATCATGTGTAGAGATTGATGGTCAACTTATGGAAGCTCCCCTCACACATCCACTTGGACACTACAACAGAATCCTTTAGCGCATTACAGCTCGTGTGATTTGAGGTTGTTTTACAGTAAGAATCCAAAGTCCATGCTTAATGGTTATGCAGATGTTGATTGTCATACCATGATGTAGCAGAAAAAAGCAACTAACAGTGATCCTATTGAGCATGAATGAGGAGTACAAAGCATATATATGTACAAAAACAAGAAAGAATGTATCCAGATTTCTCAATGGAGATGGATTTGAAGTTTAGGCCAGTGAAATATACTTTCAGTCAAATAACCATAGCACAATCTATTCAGCATCAAACGCACTTTCCTACATGAGGACAGTTAATAAATAAGTCTTAACACCAATTAGTTCAGGAATGGTTCATTGAAAACAGGGGATATCTTGTCGGCAAAAGCACACAAAATTAGGTGTTATTTTGCCCAAGAACATGTTTGCCCAAGTTGAAAGAGGCAATAATGGAATAATGACCTTTCAAAACAAAACATTGCAATAGAGAAGTGCAAGCAGAAACTAAGGGGCATATTTGAAAACTAGTGCCTTGTTAGGATAGAAGATAACAAAATAATGTCATTTTAAAAGATAACATCTCTAGATAGTCTAGATCTATGCAGTAAACTCTTGAGTTATTAACTCAAAATTTGAAGAACTTGTTGATGGATTTAGGAATCTATGAAGTACATGGCAGAGCTCAAAAGCCATACAAGAGTAAATGTATCATGAATAAAGCCCCAAAGCAAATAAAAAGCCTTCGAGAATACTACAAACACTAAAGACTCAACATTTTGTATCTTCATTATAGAATAGTTTTGGATGCCCATAAAAGCTGTAGAATAATAAATTGACAAGAATGACTAAATTCTCCAGATGCTAGAATATGATCTCAATTCTTCCAAAGAGTTTATGTATACACAACTTATTATTCTCAAGGAGAGTGTAAGAGGATGGGGCTGAAAGCTTGAGTAGAAGCCCTAATTGGCTGTGGTTGTTGATTTCTTGTGTTGGCTCTCAGGTTTCTTCGGAATCAATTCAACAAAATCTCCACTACACCCAAGTCATTTTAAGCTTTGAATTTGATAGGCGTTGGGTCTGACTTTTAGTGTAGCTGACATCCAATCTGGCTAACATCCAATCTAGCTGACCTAGCTCGTCAATCCAGTAGTTCGAAAAGAGCCCGAGATTTCAATATCGGAGAGATAGAAGGAGAAAGACCTAAATAAAATAGTGATTTGAACTCCATCTATAACTGATTGAATCATCACTCTTCAAGGAACTTAGAGGCACGAGATAGTCACACTTCTTTTAAAGTGTTCAACCCACTTGACTTAGTAAAAATAGAAAGGTACAACAGGGTTTTGGCAAGCAACTCCCGGGATACAATCAGCCTCATGAATCACAGATAAGTCTCCAAGGTGCACTCTCAAGAAACTGCTGAAATCACAACCTATGTTTGCGCTCTTGATCTCAGTTTAACAGAGTCACCCCGAAGCTGAAGTCTAAACTTGACTTGAAATTCTCAAGTTTCAGGATTTCTGGTTCTGCCTAATAGGCCGAGGTCTCTATACCATAGTACTGAGATAGATACTTGTCAATCCACTTTTGCCAAAGGCTGAGGTTTAGATACCAGAGTAACAGATAAAGGCGAAAGTCTAGATACCAAAGTAAGAGACTGTAGTCAGAAGGCTGACCCAAGATGTAATGTCACTTTAAAATTATCAGAATTCTAAAAAAACATCCTCCAAAATGAGCAGAGAGGTGGGGGCTTATATAGAGAAAAATAAGAATGAGGGGGCACATCAAGGTGACACATGGCACATGTATGGACCACGATGTCTACATTCATAAGTCCATATTGGTCCACACTCAAAAATTGTGGTCCAATGAACTATGTTAATAAAATAGGTGTCATGGTCCCGAGACCGCAGAAAGATCCACAATCCAACAGTATGGTCCCTATCAAGAAAACCAACCAAAATTGTCCGAACAAATCTCTAAAAGGCAACTTTTGTTTTGAAATATCAGTTTCCAAAAAATGACATCTTGCATTAACTCCTTACTCCTTAGAGTATGGGCGATATATTTCCTATATTTGGATGCCTCGCTAAAGGGATGGATCTTAATAGAGCAGAATGACAGACCAAGATTTATGTAGCCGACCCCAATTAGTTGGGAAAGGCTCTGATCATGATGGATGCAGACTTTGGTCGATGTTGATTTGGGTGTAACGTCTAGTGTAACTTAGAACAATGGTGAAGTATTGAGAGAGCCTATACCTACTTAGAGACTGTAGAGAGTTCACATAATAGCACTCTAATCCGATCCAATCCCCTTGAGCAATACACACCATGCATAGATTGGAAGCCTGAATATCAATATTCCTGTTCAATATAGTTGACAGCCATATGTGACACAGATGAATAATTTTGGACCAAGATTCCCTCTGAACAAATTAAAAAGGAGAACAAGAATAAAACCTTATTTTACTATCACCGAGAGATTATGAAGTTCATTAGTAAGGAGTAATGAACGTGGTTATAGCTTAAGACAAGACAATGATTTAAACAAGCATGATTTTGTTTCAACCTTGAGCTGATGCCATGCTATGCAGGTACTGTGCAAGCTAATTCATCTAGGAATTTGGGCATGGAAGTCAAGCCCATGATGTTTTGTAATGATGCTAGCATTTCCACCAAAAGTTTCCGATAAAATTAGGAAGTCCTTTCTTAGAAGACAAGAACCTTATGTTGCACCAAGAAAATTAATAAATCTTTTAAGTAATTTTGCTTGAACCCACAATCATGATTCCTCCCCCAACCCCGACAAAAAAAAAAAAAGAACTCTGCAACCAGTCCATTATATTGAACAAACCATAGTGACCCACAGACCACCACAAAGAGAACACAACACAGTGTGCATATAGAAACTTTCAACATGCCATTAACCAGGCCTTTGCCTAAAGTGGGAAAATCATTTCACAGGGGAAAGGTGTCCAGGTTTTAAACCTACCTCATTTAAACCAAGCTCGCCTTTAGAAAATATAAATAAATAAATACAAATCAATGCATCAGGAAGAACTTGGCCACAACAGTTCCTAAGTGAGAGTATTCTCCGAAACTAAACACTGCCTTTATACAGTTTAGTAGACAGGTGTAGAATGTAGACAACATGTCTACAATTATTACCTTCTCTCAAACTTTTTTAACGAGGGTAAAAATATTCTCACAACGATGATTATAAGCTAAGGTACTAGGATGAGACAGAGAAAACAATTTACATGATCAAACTATAAAAATGATAATAATAAGATCAAACAATTCTTGAGAGACCATTTGGAATGCAAGTAATCTTCAACATGAGTTAGCAATAGAGGAAAAAATGAATATGGAAACTTGTATAGTTATATAAAATCAACAGAGTACCTCCCCTGTTGAAATGGTGATGACATGAGGTGTGAAGTTCCCTCCGGCTGAGTTAGCAACCCACTCTCCTGCAAACAAGATGTAATATCAGCAAGAATGAACCACTATGCCCACTACTAATACCACTAAATTAACCTTACAAAAATGAAGTACAAAAAACACTACTGTTCCCAATAATGAATGGGGGGTAACAATCATTTTCCAGTCCAACAAAAAGGCAAACAGACTAAACATAAAAAAAATGGCAAGAAAATAGTGGTTAATAGCAAAAAGGCCACATGTTTGCGTATATCAAAACATATAAAAAGTTCAATTGTTTGGGTTTGGACACACACACACACCTTGCCTTGCTAAGTAACAATGAATCCATATGATATGGAGTACATAATAAAGATAGCAATACATCAATGTGGAAAAAAGAACCCAAAAGAAAGCACACACTTCACAGCCATATGTATAATAAAAGATGCAAATCAGCTTTCATCAGATCAATTGTCTAAGAGAATACATAAGGCAACCCTTATATCCAATGAGGGCCTAAACATCTCAGCTTTTCCAGAAAGCCCGAGTTCAGGGCAAGAGCACTGTGCTCTAGCAGAGGTCAGACAGAGAAGACCCAAAAGCTTAGAGGGAGATTACAGGTCAAATAGAAGAGAAAATGAAGAGATTAAGCAAAACTATGGTTTGAAGTTGCAATTGATAAAAGTTAAAAACCTTTCAACTTTCTCTAAGAAGTAAAGACAGGGGGCAAGAGAAATATTCTAAAGAAAGCTGGATCTAATTGCACACATCCATTGACTACAAACCATGATGCACAGATTCATGAAAAATAAGTAGGTGCAAATCTTGAATTATTAGAGGAAAAGGCTCCATGAACTCACCATAAAGAGTAGGGAAACCACCTTGATTGTTAATTTGGAAAAATTTTATATAAAGGTGAGGCCCTAAACAATCAAATTAAGGTGCACCTCAAAATTCACTAGAAGACGTTTCGATGCCCAAAAATCCTCAAATCGATCATCTTGATGTCAAGATGTATGGATATGAGAAAAAATGGATTTCAAGTCTTGGAAATAGTGCATCTTATAATGCATTTTCTACACCATCAATTTTCAAGATTTTCAAGTGTTCATAGATCCGCTCATTTTAAATCTTATAATTAGAGATGAAAATAAATTTTCAGGCTATCACAAAAATTTTCCATACTGAAACGACATCTTTCGATACCATTTGAATGTGCACCTTTCTTTGATTGTTTAGGCCCTCAGCCTTAATACAAACCACACCCTTTTAATTTATCAGTTTAACAATCGGTGTGGTTGTTAAGAAATTCAATGAACTCCCTGGTTAGTACACTTAATTTATAAAATAATGGATCTGAGTTTTATTTTTATCCATGAAACAGCCAAAAGACCACCATTTTATTTTCCAAGGATGCTATGTAAGCACTGAGATTTTTAACACATTTAACTCACATTTTCCTTATGTTATTAGTAATTCTCTCCTTTTCTCTGCTATTTTAAGGAGATGATCATGCCACAAAAAAAGTAGAAAAGAGAAATAAGCTCCACAATGCAGCAGAAAGCCCAGATAATCACAAATCACCAATCATCCAAAAACAATCTAAAATGAAGTGAATATCACTTCAGGTAACCATGACACATAATTCTAGAAAAACCAGGCACTAATTTCCTGAAATGAAGAAGAACAAAGAGAAAGAGCGAGAGGAGAGTTGATTGTAAGAAGAAGAGAGAGAGAGAGATTATTTCAAGGAGAGGGACAGATAATTTTACAAGGAAGACGAAGAGACAGATAAAAAATTGATTTTATGAAGAGAATTGTCATTTTATGAAGAGAGATATGATTTTATGAAGAACAAGTAAGAGAGATAAGAAGATAAGGAGGACGAAGGGGAAGAAGAAGAGAGAGAGATGATTTGGAGAAGAAGAGCAACGGAGGGAGATAGATGATTTGAAGAAGAAGAATAAGGAGAGACTGAGATAGATAGAAAGAGATGATTTAAAGAAGAAGAATAAGGAGAGATTGAGAGAGAGAGAGATGACTAAAAGAAAAAAGAAGAAGAGAGAGAGAGGAGGGGTGGGGGGAGGGAGGGAGATGATTTTAGGAAGAGAAAGAGAGAGAGAGAGAGAGAGAGAGAGAGAGAGTGGTGACGATGATTAAGAGAGAATGAGAGAAATCGATCGAAACAACGAGTGAGAAAAGAGACACAGAAGGAGGGAGGGAGGGAGAGAGAGAGGACCATGGATTTTACACAGTACCTAGAGTAGCAAGGAGTTGCCTCTTTCCAGATCCAGGTGGCCGCCCTCTACCCCGCTTTGAAGAGAAGAGAAAAGGAGAGGAAGGTAGGCTAAGCTCATTGTTATCCTCTGGTGTCAAAGCCAGAGCCAAACTCCCATCTGGTGCGTACTTCCTGGGCCTTCCCCTCTTCTTCTTCACTGAATCCGACGAAGAAGAGCCCAAGTTCCTCTCTATGCTCATGCTTATCGCCATATTCATCACCTGAGGTAAAACCTTACTAGCGGGTGACTCCATTAAGCTACTAGGGTTTTGATCGATTCCACTCTTCGCTGTTGGTCGCTGAGGTCCTGCAAACGAAGAAACCGCTCTTTCTCTCTCTTCCATGCATGAAAGGAATCACAATGGAGGTGAGGATGAAGAAGTAGAGAGAGAATGTCTTACGCCATGCCTGGAACTTGGGAGAGAGAGGGTTAGAGAGAGAAAGGCGCCATGGATTGAGATTCATTCTCCATTTTTTTTCCCTTTTTTGAAGGTGGAAATGGCGCCACAGCTCCCCTCTCTCTCTCTCGCTCGCTTGCTCGCTTACTCACTTTTGTAGCGCTCAAAACCTTTCTCTCTCTTCACTCTTTGTCCAAAACTCCAACTGCTTTTCTCTCTCTAAAATTGTCCCCTTTCTCTCTCTTCGGTCTGTGGTCCATGCCCTTTTCTCTCACTAAAATTGTCCGAAACCCCCTCTCTCTCTCTCACACTTTCTCTCCTTTCTCTCACTAACTTATGCGGCCTCTCTCTCTCTTACGATATATTCATCTTTTCTTAAACATCTATATGCCCTTCAAAACTATCAAATAACCACTATACCCTCGAGCGGGAATTTGGACATGGTTCAATGACTCGCGAGTCAAACTGTAAATGCAGTCATGTTTCTATTTTCTCATTCGAATATAACCCGTGTTATATTTTCTCGCTCATACTTTTTTATTAGGAAAAAGTTTATATAAAGGTGAAGCCCTAAACAATCAAATTAAGGCGCACTTTATAAATTCATTAGAAGAAGTTTTTCAAATGCTGAAAAACTCTCAAATTCAATCATCTTTGTCTTAAGATGTATGGACATAAGAAAAAATAGATTTCAAATTTTAAAAATTTGCATCTTATAATATATTATCTTGACCGACAATTTATTAGATCTTCAAGTATTCATAGATCAGTTCAATCTACACTATTTGTTTAATCATTAAACTTAATAATTAGAGATGAAGATAAATTTTGAGGCTATTATAAAGATTTATGATACTGAAACAACAGATTTTGGCCTTATTTTGAAGGTGCACTTTACTTTGATTGTTTAGGGCCTCGTCCTTGTACAAACCACACTCTTTTCCTTATAGATGGGAATTTTGCTTATTGATTAGTTAGTTCATAGAAAATTCTTATATGGTTTTACCTCATATTTATAAATTCCTATTTTTTGATGTTTTATTAGGAAACACAATTTTCAAAGTTGTTTCATTTGTACTGTATACACTATACACCAATTTATCTATTGTATAAGAAGCTCATAATCAACCCTAATTTACATACCAAATTTGTTTATAAGTGGTGCAACCCAAAGCTTGAGAAAAAGATTTCAGATTTTGAACCCATTCGAATCCTTGGCAAATGCCTGTTTGTGCATCTAATTACTATAAATAACTTTCATATATACCACGAGCAACGTATTAATTTCATTAAATCATAAATGGCTTATAAACATAAGTTTGTAAATAAAATTTCACCAAATAAAATCTTCATGCAAGACTTATTCAAGCCGAGTCGAGTCCCAATTTTTGAATTTCACAAAATAAATAAATGCCTAGAATCTTCTACCATGTGTCGAGCCCCAGTTTTTTAATTAGGTGACTTGAGGCTGCCCTAATTTCTGAACTATGGCTCCAGACATCTGTATGAAGCACCCATAAGGCTCTAGTGCATGCACTGTGATCGGGTACTCGACGACACTAGGATATCTTGGACAGCATCATGCCAGAAGCTGCTTTTAATGTTGCAGGACCTCCATTTTGCCAAGCATCTCATATAGGCACCAACTAAGACAATACAACGTATTCAAATTGGACCTAAATATCGCTATGAATCCAAAAAAATAATAACAATATATATTTGTAATAAATGTGAAAAATATAAATTGATTTGGGTGAATATAGAAAATCTCTCCGCAATCATCATCAAATACATGGATCAATAGAAACAGAGATTGAGCTAGAAAGAGGAAAAGGAACCTTCTAGAACTAATGCTCATTCTGGCTCTAGCTCCATCACCACTCATCAATTTACTCAGTGGTGATGGACTTGGAATCATTCAAGTTTATACATTTCCTATGATCACATGGATCACCATATACCTTCCCTCCAATTGCATCTCCTTTGTTGGAATCATTATGTTCAAGGTGGTTTTGTGATATTTTGCAAAGAAATTCAAGAAAATGAGGGGGGATTGAAAAATTCTTGGGTGAAGGGTAGCAATGCAATTTTGTGGTGAATGGGGAAATTTGTACTTATGGGCATTGATGTAATTTGTCCTGAAAATGATTTATTTCTATTCTTTTTCCTTTAGGTCAACTGTGAATGTGCTGTAAAAGAGCCAAAAAGTTGTTTTAGGAAACAGCTCGAAAATAAATGAAATATTAAATTAAGGGGAGTCCAAATCCCGAAACCTAAAATTTTGAAAAAATTAATTGGAGTTTTAAATAAAAGCATTTCTGCCAAAGCAAAAACATTTTTTTAAAGGTGTCCGAAGACCGTTGACGCCCCCCCCGTATGACCTAACCCTAAAATTTCTACCTCCCTCACTAACCCCTCATAAAACAAAGGCCTTTCAAAAAAGAAATTTTGATTGAATCATCAAACCACCTAAAATCGATATTTAAAGGATGAAGTTTCTATCCGTTATAGGCTTTACGAAAACAAAATAAAGCGTCACCTTAAATCCGCATCCAGAAAGTACTTCAGGTATTAGTAATTTTCATAATGTCTTTAAAATCAAATTTTAACATCGATAATCGACTTTGAAACTCAAAAACGAGCATAGATCTTGTGGATACGTGAATACTTATTCATAGGGTGAAATGGATGATCTAAATGATTTGTTGGACTATACGGTATTTTTACAATTTAAAATCTTATTTTTTTCGATAACTATAACGTTCAAGCTGAGACGGTTGATATAAAGGCATTTCAACACTCTAATTACAATTTTTTATGAGTTATGAAGTAAGACTTTACTTATTTTGAAAGTACTGCAGCCCTATTAAACCAAATTTTTTTTATAGTTAAATCAACTAATTGCCAAAATGTGCGGTGGCTCTTTAAATATCATTTAGACTTAGTAGTTCAAACTATTTCTTATATTTACCAAAACTAACATCGAGGAACAGTGATGGCATTTTGGTCATTTGGCCACTAGGTTAAATGTGCCTACACATTTTTTTCATGGGTGCCATTTATATTGACCCGAGGCTCTAAACAATCAAAGTAGAGTACACCTTCAAATAATATTGAGAAATATGGTTTTAATATTGAAAATTTTTATGATAGTTTTAAAATATATTTTTATCTTTCATTATAAAATTTAAAGCTTAAAAAATAATGTAGATCGAGCAGATCTATGAAAACTTGAAAATTCTGAAAATTGACGGTCCAAAAATACGCTACAAGATGTGCTATTTCTAAATCTTGAAATCCATTTTTTTCTATGTCATTGCATCTTAATGTCGAGATGATCAATTTACGGATATTTGGGCATCAAAACAACCTCTTTTAATAAATTTTTGAGCTGAGCTTGAATTTGATTGTTTAGAGTCTTGGCTCTCCATAAACTTTTTTTCCTTTCTTCATTGGGATTCTTGTTATGGCTTTGGAACCTAAAAAATCTAGGTATTTTTGTGTTTTGGCTTGTGATAAGAGTAAAGCCAACATAGTAAACTTATTGAGTTTAAATGAAAAGAAAAAAAAATGTTGGCATATAATCCGAGACTTAAATCATTTATGGGTATGTTTGGTACACGTGAAAGTATTTTCATGAAATATTTTTAGATAAAAAAAACTCCTTCATAGGATTAGGTATGGGTTTTTGTTACAGAAATTGATTCCAATATATTTTTCCATACCAATTGGCGGCCAATAGATGTGAAAAAACTCTCATACCTAACTACATAAGAGAGTTTTTTTACATTAAAATATTTTCATGAAAGTATTTTCACACGTACCAAACGTACCCCTAGTTCAAGAGAAAGGAATAAGTCAAATTACTATAATAACACTTGTTTACGAGTATCAATCCATAACAAGGGGAATTTTGGGCAATTTTTAGCTACATTCTCTAAGATGTACTCAAATGGAAGGAATTTTATAAATCAAATATTATATTGAGCAAATGGCTTATTTAATCACCTCATTTATTTGTCAAGTGGTTTAACCATTTTAATGACATTCGCGCACTCCCTCACCCTAAAATAATCAACATTAAATCAAATCAAAATCACATCAAATTTCTTTTGGCTGGTTTTAAGATGTGCTTTTTTTACTAATTAAGAATAGTTATAGTTTGGTGTGACTATTTTGGCTGCGGTATATCTAGGTGGGAATTTAATCTATTTGAGGCCAGACCAATTTTAGCAAGACAAGCATGTTTAGGTCCAATCCTAACCTACCTATCCATAAGAGAATCTTGTTTTGTTTGGAATAATGGCCATATTTTGTAGAAATGTGTAGGATTTTGCTTGAAAATGGATTAAACTAGTCATGCATTCTTAGCCTAATTTCACATCTAGAAAGTGTGGATTCTTCCCCTAGCCTAGAGGAATAATTTTTTGGCTGTCATTCTCTACTTTGTAAACTCAAGGGATCTTTAATATATGAAAGAATTTGGAGAATATCAAATGGTGTACTTTGTCAAAATAAAAAAAAAAGGAATATGAGAATATCACAACATAACTGAATAGCACCATGTAGAAGAACATCGGATGGTTATATAAATGGAAAAAAAATAGATTTCTTGCACTAGTGGGAGCATAATGTCTATTAGTCACTTGAGTAAAACCCAATCACTCCCTATGCACTTCAAGAAAAATAATAACTGGATTGGATAGAAACTAGGGAAAATTGCAAAAAAAACCCTTTTAAAATAGAATTTTTACGCGCTTTACTTCCACCCAACTTTTCCTAGCAAAATACCTCCTTACAAAAGTTTTTTTTTTTTAACAAAAATAACCTTCCCTCACCTAACAAATTATTTTCATTGGAGAGGGCAGTCCGGTGTTTCATGGAGGCGGTCCAACGATTATTTTTTGTTGGAATGGGTGGTCAGGCATTTTGAAATTGCGGTCCGTCATTTTGAAGGGGCAATCCGGCATTTTGATATGGCGGTCCAGCATTTTAAAGGGGAGTCCGGCGTTTTGAAGTAGCAGTCCGACGTTATGAAGTAAGCAGTCCGGCGTTGTACAAGTGCAGTCCGACATTTTTTTTTATTAGAATCCGAAAATGATTTGTTACATGATGGAAAGGTATTTCATCAAAAAAAAAAATACTTTTGTAGAG